TTTTGATCATTGCAAACTGCTATTTGTGGTGCACTGGTTTGGATATGAGATATAGAAAAAATGTATCTGCCCTTGCAGGTGTGTACTTAGAATGCGGTTTCAGGGCAAGTAGTGCTGTAGTGTGTTTTTGAGATAGATTTCCTTATTTCTTACTACAGGTATAGTGAGTGAAAACCATACAGCTGCTTCTTTCTGCATCTGTGGTACTTTCAATATTCTTAGCATATAATTGACTGAAACAAGTAAGACCTGAGCAAAACAGGGTTCAGCAACACCCTCTGCCTTCACACCAAATAACCATGTCTTTTAGAGACTATATGTGCACAGTTGCTCAGTTCCATATGCTTTTTATTCTTCCAGCATATTTCAGGGCTGGTTTTTGCAGCATTTTGTTTCTGTGGGCTGGATTTCATTTCAGCTGATTGCCCAATCTCTTCTTCATTCTATTGTAATTGGGTTTTGGATTGTCTCAAATTCTCCAATGGATTTATAACAATCTGAAAATTAACAATGGCCCCTTAATTGCACGGGACTATGCGATTCACAGAGTCCTGACTTGACTGGTATTTCTCTTCCCCTCGCTTCCAGCCAGGCAGTCCCGTGTGCTTTTTAAACCACTGCAGAGCCAGTAAATGTGCATACATTGAAAGTTTTTCTTCCTGGCACTCTGTCACTTAGAAAGCAAGCTGAGGCTTTTCCATAGGCCGATGTATTGGCAGTAACTTATAAACCCCCCAAAATATGGAATCATGATTTTTGATTATGCTGTAAATTGGGGTTATTTCCTTCAGGCAGGCGGAAGGACATGCCAGCTGGACTTTATATTTTGGCTGTTAGAAAGCTTTAGCAGCCAAAATTATAATTAGCTCACTCATATTGAAATATGTTCTCCCTAGCTGTGTTATTTTTTTTTTTTGCCAGAGCCTGATATGATTCCTGGAAGATGTAGTTTCCCCTCAGCACAGGAAATATGCATATTGCTGGCATTAACCAACACCTGTGCAGTGGTGGTTGCAGTGCTTGCACAAGGAGGCAGTACATCTGCTCCCTGGCTGGGTGTGGGTATGTGTCTGTTCTGTTCTGCAGGGACTGGTGTGGAGGGCATTGACTGGCTCTTTGGCTGCTCAATACACTAACTGCAGGATCTACACAATGGGCAGCTGGGGATGAATTGCTCAGAATTGCAGGAAATGCTTCTAAATACCAAATTTGAAGGAAGGCAGGGCTAGTTTATCAACAACAAACCACCAGTGCAAGAAAGTTGCTTATATTTCAGCAGCACCTAATTTTACACGTTAAGTGGTGCTTAAGAGATCTGGTTGATTGGTGACTATTGCACGCTGTAATTAAATGGTAGCACTGAAGGACTGGGAGGTACAGCCGAAAGAAACTTTAGCAAGAGACTTGGACAGGAAGCATGGACTACAGCACAGGATGCAGAAACCTGCCAGATATGCTGAGTGCTTATTTGGGCAGCTAAAATCTCACTAGAATGATAGAGCGGGCCAGTAAAGCTAGTCAGGGAGTGTTTGCACTCATACCCCTCTGTCACTGTTTGGATTTTGGCATAGATGTGCCTGCTGTGAGAACTGGTCCATACCTTCTGTAGCTCTGAGAATGGGAATGAAGGTTGTTAAGGCAGTGAATCAGGAGGTGACCCCTTCAGCTTTCATAAGAAGTCAAGACTGCAAACAGGATCCAGATTCTCATGTTTCACAGTTCACTGCCATCCAATGGTTCATTTTAACTTGAGTTGAAAATGTAACTTTCCCCCCCCTTCGCTGTTCGGACTGTGTATTTGCAAGCTGGATGTTTCATCATATTAGAGGTGGTAAAAACTTTTCACTGAATACTCGGGTTCTGTGTTTAGATGATTCCTTTGACTTCTGTTTGTTTTTCCTATCTATATTGTGGCTGCTCATCTGTTAATGGAGTGGTTTCTCACCATGAACCCATTTTCAGATTCTATTTTGGATATTTATTTGATCCTTATGACGATTGAACTCTTGAATATTTTGAATCCTTTTTTTCTTTTTCTTTACTTACTACTTTATTCCCAAAGCAGTATAAAACTTTCTTTAGGAACATCATTTAGTTTGGGTGAGAGAATGAGATAAGGTTCTAGAATTGGGATAAAATAAGAGGGAATATTCAGAGTACAAGATGTTATGGCTATGACTGAGAGCTGTGCACCATTGGCAGCTGTGGATTTAATTAGGTAGCTCTTCCAGATGAAGGGGCCAGGCAAAGGCAGCCTCCCTTGTCGCCTTGGCACCCGCAAGGTTTGTGTTCCCATTACAGCAGGGGGCTCCAGAGCAGCTGAGAGCTTCGCCTGAGCAGCAGCCAGTCACCCCACAGAGCTGAAAGGCATCTTAGAGTACTACATGGATTCATTTCACCTATTATTTCAGTGTAAAACCCTATAATATGTGCGTGAATTGATTAACTCATTATTTATTTATTTGACTTATTAATTGATTAACTCTTCCAGTTTGAATGCCCTAACTGGTTTTGAAACTGATTCTTTGCAGACATAAGAAACACATGGAGAATAACATTCTTGCAACTACAAATCAATTTGGGTATTTTGGTAGACAAAAAAGGAGAAATTCAAAGCTAGAGTAGAAAGATCTAAAAATTAGTGGAGGACTTACCTTGGAGTTTCAAGCTCTTAATGTTACTCTGTGAGGCTGACAGTAATCCGGCAATTGCATTTTTTCATGGATACAAGACCCAGTGCAAGTTTCTCTCCTTAAAATGCTCTTTGTTCTTCATCTGTTGAAAGACTAGAAAAAGAAAATGCTTGTAATGCTTGAGTTCAAAACTTACTAATATTAGTAATATTCAAAGGGACAGCTTAATGTAGCTTTGACTTCTTCAGTAACATATGTCCTGTATCTTAGTTTTGCTTAGAACCTGGAATTCATGCTAATCTTAGTTACAATCTATAACTCTGCTATCTTCTCATAAGAATAAATTCTCTAAAGAATAAATACTCTAGAGTATGCTACTACCAGATCACACTGAATCACTGAACGGAACAAAATGTTTAGAACTAGAACTCCAGAAAGTAAGCATAAAGTTGTATTGCTTGAAAATTACTGTACTTTCCATGATGAAAATTCAGAAGGATTGTAATACAATTTCTAATGTCTGTAAAAGTTTTTATTTTGATGGACCACTTTCTGTGTTTGAAATCAATGAAATATAAATGATGGGAAGGTAGTAACAAATAGGAACAGGGTAGAAGCTCAAAGCCTTTACTGCTCAAAAAAAGGGAATACTCAGGTTTTCATACTTTGTGTGCTGGACGTTACTGTACCTGACCTGTAAAATCTTAATTTTCCTGTAAGTTACACAGTTAAGTACTTGCAAAGATATTTTCTCTTTCTCTGTAAAGCTGGATGTGTATTATAAAAGCTGTTGGTTTCCTCACTTTTTATTGGCTTATGTCTTCATAACTTAGTTAAAGTGGGCTTTTTTGAAAATAGCATTTCATTAAAATACATGATACTCCAGTAATTCTCTTGGTTATTCATAGTTTGATGGGGCTGCATGTTGCCAAAGTAATTCTGATTATGCTTTCAGAAATCTCCAGTAAGCAAAATGCATTGGTAGCAAATATCTGTTTGGGTTTTTTTTTTTTAGAGGGGCGGGGAAGAAGGAAATACATATGCTTGGAGGCAAGGGAGAAGAGTTTGAATGTGCTTCAGACCTGATTCTAGCACCTTTGTTTAGTATAATAGTAGGGGTAAGCACTCTTTTTCTATGTTCCTAGTGATCTGCTACAGAAGAGCAAATGTAAACAAAGACCTGTAATCCCACCAATTGAAGTGTAATGCAGTCATTTGTCCTGTTTGATTCTTACTTCTTGTTTATATGTATTAGAGCCAAGGTGTGGAAAGGAAACAGATGCTTTGTTAAGGCTATTTGATCTGAAGTGAGACTTGCTTTGAAATTAGTTTCCTTTTTTGCAGTGTGTCTGCCTTGCTGTCTGCCTAAAGAACCTATAGTCCCAAGGTTACTCTGCCAGCTAAGGATAACTCTCCTATAGTAGTTAACAAATGTTTTCAATGCATGGACTTATTTCTTGACAATAGACCTCTCTTGATTTCCTGTTGTGGACCAGGGCTCCATGGTCATCAAGGTAAAAAGCGCTGTACTATTCTCATACTTCATCCAGATCATCTGCAAACTCTGACTGATGGTGATCATGTCATAAGAGCCTAAGGAAGTCTTTCCAAGTTATGCTTCCCTCACATATGAGTAGTTAACAGTTAGCAGTTGCCTGAAATATCATTATAGTCTCCAGTGATGAAGAAGCTAGAAATCTGTGTGGGAGAAAGTAATGTAAGAGTGAAAACTGTGACACAGTAAGGGTAAGACTTCATGCCGGTACAGAAGTTCTCTATCACTTGATGGCTTTAATACAGAGAAGTGGCTGTGTGGAATAACAAACCGTAATTCCTCTGAACTCACCACTGAATAAAGAATCATCACCCCATCCCCCCAAAAAATAAGACCTATGAATAAATGAATAAGCTATGAACTGTCAGCTGAAAAGAAGCAGTGAAAAAACAGAAAGAGAGAGAAAAATGAAGAGGTTTAGGTGCCAAAGAGCAAAGTGCCAAAAAAAATCAGGTTCTGACAGATTGGAATGAGCAATGATCCCTAGTTCGTTAGTTCCATATACAGTGAATGTTGCCAGAGTCCTTTGGTCCTACATTAATTTACAAAGTACTGTGATAAACAATTTATTCTTTCCACAAGAAGTGCCAGTGAAGACAGGTAAAGGAGGAAGCCATGTATAGGAGCAGTCATGTAAGAAAGGCACAAAAGGCAAGTAGGGGTTCTAAAAGTTTACTGCAATCCAGATGTTGTCTAATGCAGTGATCAGACCAACAGTCTTTATTCTTCCTAGGTCTTCTATAGATCACCAAAGAATATTATTTATCTGTGATACTAATATTATAGAAACACTAAACATTGTTTTTACACAGTGCAAGTGATAAAGAAGAGACACCATGCAATTACCCAGCTGTACTTATACCATTAGGGAATTCTTTCTGGATCACAGGTAAGTCAGATAAATACTTTGACTTTGGGCTTATGGGTACAGAGCCTGGGGTCAGCAGTTGGTATTTGGAATGCAGCTGCCTACTTTATCCATTTTTATGCACTAATTTCCTTGATGTAGGGATTTGGGGATTGGGAAATACTTTCATAAATTATAAGCAAAAAAAAAAATCTCTTTCATCTCCTTCATTCTGGATAGCCGTTGCATAAAACCTGTCAAAACCATATTGCTCTGGCTTCATCCCTGCTTCAGTTCCATTGATTACAGTGGAGTTAAATCAAAGATGAATCTGTCTGCTCAATTTAAATCTAATGATTGGTTAAAAAGTTCGGGGGATAGTCCTGTCTAAATCCAGTGCTGTTTTATCCTTGTGTCAGCATTTAATTCCATTTGCATATAAGCCTATTTCCCTTCTCTAAATTTAATTTGTTAGAGCCTGGCCCTCAGCAACAACAGCAACAACAAAGTAATTGCATGCAGTATGGGGCAATGGTGCCAATACAGCATGTGCTATAAAAATGCCTCACACAGATTTAGAAAAAGGTAGTCATTAGTGACATTCTGCCTGGTAACAGCAAAACCAAAAACCCAACCAAAACTACCTCATGGGCATGTGGGCATATTATTAGATACCTCATGTATCTAATAATACATATATGAAGAAGCCTTTGTTTAATATGGGCTATTAATTGTGGCTGTTTCACCAAAGGAAATGACATACCCATGTGTCCATGTGTTATATAACCGTTAGGAATCATCCCAGAGTTTCATTGAGAAGAGAGAAAACTGTCTGAGGCTTAGTTCTTAAGCTGCCCTAGATATCATCTGTGACTCTGCAAGGAATTTTTGCTTCATGATTTAGCAGGCTTGTTTTAAGCTGGGGAGGAGTGGTTGGCATTGTCACAATGTATCTTGTTTGATTAGCTGCTAGGTTCTACTGCAGTGCTGTTTACTGTGTTCTCATACCACCTAGCCTCCAAATGCTCATCCCAGTCTTCGTTTAGACTTCTCACCTGACCATCTTACAATGAAAAGATTGTTCTTGGTGAACTTGACCTGATTGACAGTCATTCCAATTCAGTTGTTCTTCCAAATGTAGGGCTACCTGTCTGTAGGATCCTTTCTTCTCATTTTCTCTATCCTGAATATTTGATTGCACCAAAGGAAAAACCCCAAAATCAAAATATTTCTTGGGATTTAATTTGAGTTTCTCTTTCTGCTTCAGAAATTCAGCTTTCATCATACATTCTGATGCATTAGAACTGGTTACAGTCATAGATTCTTATGTCTTGTCACTTTTGCACAACTTTGTGATCTGTCAAGGTCATTCCAGTTTCACCATTTGTGGAAAGAAGATGCTGATGCCAAGAGGTAAAGATACTGGCCTGGAGCACTGTACATTATTGTGCAAATAACAGAGCCTGGAAGAGAAATTTCCTGGATTTCCAGATTTCCTGAATTAAGAGCTGCATGCTTTGTGCCTAGGGCCATTCTATACATACAATATAAACTCATGGAGAGTGGGAAACAAACATACATCTACTTTCTAATCTCTATGTTTTGATAAATCAGGTTGTTTCCTAACATACCAGATCTTTTTGGTGCATATTGGGCCTCCCATGGACAGGAAGGCCCGCTATTACCCTTGTTACCTCTTGATGCACTTGCAGCCTATCCTCAGTAGGATTAGAAGGCACTCAGGACCTTTCAGGAGGCACTTATCACTTTACAGGATTAGGATAAACCTGCCTTTGATGTTTTTGTGATCACACCCATCTGTCATAACTGAACGTGGAGAATTAGGCTTTATTTTTATTTAATGTTCTAGTTATGTTTAAAAGGTCAAATATAAAAATATATCAGATCATTTTTTCTCAGTTTGCCTGCTTTACTATTAAAAAATCAATGAGAATATGTTGTGTTTGTAATACATATGCTAATATTTGAGAAGTCAACCCACCCCCATAGTTATTATCAGAATCAGCAAATATAGATATGGTTTCAACTGATTTTAAGTTTTAACAATTCTACTCCATTTCACACTCATTCCTCTTCTTCCACCCATATATTCATTACAAGTGTCAGATAAGGCTAATCCTTCATGTCACATTACTACAGATGGTTACATAGGGGACTTAAACCAGATGCTGATAGTCCGGATAATCTGGATAAAAGCTGGTAACCTAAATCAAATCCATTTTGTGTATTACTCATGCTAACAGTTAAGAGATGTATAAAATCTTTATTACCCTTTAATGCTTTACATAACTCTTCTGCTTTCTTATTGTTATACTTTCAAGGTTTTTATTTTGGAGAAGGTTCTTCTACATCTCCCACTATCCTACCTTAGATAAATCATACATGTATGTATGTCCATAAACAAGACTTGAGGATGGGAGAGACATTTGCTAGATAAGAATGAGTACTAAGTTTATCTTTTGTTTTGAAATTCCTGTTGGCTTGGACATTGGCAGTATGAAAAGCAAACTGAATTTCTTTTGTAGGAGGAGGTTCAATGGAAGCATTAGCAGGAAAATATTCCTTACTTTTGAAGAGTCTTTGAAGTTCAGTGGTTAGGACGGGAGCTGGTAAGAGTGCCTTCTGGTGAGTGGCCTAGGCCTCTGAACAGACTTGAGTGTTTAGAATCCATTTTTCTGTCTACCGGGAATAGAAGTATCCTATCTTAAATGGGCTTTATTCTGAATATTAACTGTACCTTTATTTGGAATACTTTCATTTAATAATAGTGTTTGTATTCTGAATTGAGGGATTCACAAAGGCTAGTTAGTTTAGGCACTCTGTGTGTGTGAGTGTGTGTGTGTGTTAAAGGAGTCAGTTATTTACATGAGAAGTTCCGTGACATAAACATATTTTAAGTACAGAAATGTAGACAGCACTCAGAATATGTGCCATATTACGTCATATTTATTCCACTGGTACATTCATATTCCCATGAAATGGAAGGATTCTAAGATATAGAATCATAGAATAGTTAGGGTTGGAAAGGACCATCAAGTTCCAACCCCCCTGCCATGAGCAGGGACACCTCCCACTAAACCATGTCACCCAAGGCTCTGTCCAACCTGGCCTTGAACACTGCCAGGGATGGAGCATTCACAACTTTCTTTGCCTTCCTATTACTACCACTGAATGCTGCCTGTGGCTAAAGGACTTGGAAACGAAGATACTAGGTTACCTATTGTCAATTTATATAATGCTATTTTGGGTCTTTCAGTATAGATCACACTGTTGCCTTAAATTAGCATAGTTCTGCCAAAATCAAGAAAATCCAGATGATTTACAGGAATAAAAACCCTTGATCTTTCCCTGTATGTATACAGTGATGTAGCAGTGAAGTATACTGCTCACTCTGGGTCACATAATTATCTGCAAATTGCTGAAAAGGTTTACAAGACCAGTCTGTCATTGCAGCTTAGAGCATACTGTGAGGACGTCTAGTGCAAACCTGAGAGGATACGAGTGAAGACATACTGTCCAGATACTTTCTATCATTAGTATACACCAAGTGATCAAATACCATCAGAATTGTTGTTCATTATGGGATCATAAACCTTTATAGTGGAAGGGAGGGTAAATACTTTGGTCTGAAAAGTTAGCCAAAGGAAGACAAATTATTGCAACAGATGCATAAAGATGAAAGTGGTGAGTAATTACATGCAGTGTTGTGAGCAAGGAACCAAACCCTTACAATTATGTGTTTTGTGGCGAGGTCTTGGTAGGATGATGCACATTACACTAAATATTATGATTAATAGTTATAATGCTATTTTAATGTTTGTGGTTATCAGCTAGTGGAAGCAATAAGTGGATCTAATTGATAGCAGCATTTGACTGACCTTTGGCAATTACTTTTTGAAATGTAAATTTTTAGACTGTGACTTTAAACATCAGCAGTTCCTCAATGATGTATTTTAGAGGCTTACAAAAAGTATGGAGATAGAAGAATGTACTGTTATTGACCATATAGATGTGGTTGAAAGTCCTATGTATGGGGCAGATATTTTGCTACCATCTATTCTGCATTAGAGGAAATGTCCAATTCAGTGGAGTTGTTTCTTTGCATGTTGTAGGCTTGGACATGCCATTTCAGCACTAAAAAGTCTGATTCATAATGACTGAAACATCATTTCCAGAAATGCTGTTTAGTGGAGTGTGTATGTATGAAACGATGCCCTAGTATAGAGAGGGTCCTAGGTTATGGGTATTTTATGATCCACATATCTCTAATTCATCTTTTGTTTTTGAAACATAACATGTTCTAGCTGCACTGATATGGGTTCTTGCTTATTATGGTTAATGGATTATTCATCCTTTTTGTCCTTGACATAATCCTAAATATGTGCATAAAACTCGGATCATGTTGCCCATAAAAACCAATCAGCCCAGAGTTCTTCTGCAAGGTGTTGAACATTCACCCAGAGCAGATGGTGAAGATAATGTTTAATAAAGAGTTAGAGGATTAGTTGGAACAGAAATAAGCTAAGAGAAAGGGATCATTTCATTTCATATGAAACTCCATGACATTTCATGCACCCAAAGACTGATTAAAGTTATGCCAAAAGCTGCTCTTTTTGGCCAGTTTGTCCTAATACTGACCCTGCTTATGTTGTCAGCTGCTCTGTCTGCATGTGTTATTTTACTACTGTGTGAATAACTCAAAAGAAAGCTCTTCTGTTTATCCTGTGGCTGGCAAAGGTAATTCTTAATTAAATAAGGTGACAGGATTCTGCTAAATGTGTTGAATATATTGAAGCAACTGATATCTCAACCTAGGTTCAGAAGAAAGGTTTTATAGGTCATTTAAAACATAAATTAATTTTAAATGTTAATTTTCATAACGTGTGGGGTTAAGCTTTGGATTACCTTGAATATTTCAATGCTGAATGAAAAACACAGCAGGAGATAGGCCATCAAGAATTTTTAGTCTCATTTTAGGGAAGTTTCTTTTTGCCCTCAAAAAGGTGGTGGAATAACAAAACCTACAGGCTTTGCATGATGTGTAACATTTGTAATGAAGACCTAATAAGGTTTAATTGAAGAAACTGAATAAACCAAATCAGCCAGAAGGAGGTATTTTACAGTTAGGGTATTTCTGGGCTGTTGATTGTCCTCTGGTATAACTTCAGGTTCTATAAATCAGAAGCTCTGACAAAGCATGTCAGGTATGGGTGCTGCAGAAGCAACATAAATGACATCTACTGGTAAATAGAGTGTCCTTTGTTCTGAACACAGCATTTAAACCCTTTGAAGCTGCGCTCATAAATAAACACATGGGCTTAGGAGAAGACATTTTAGAATGGTTGGTTGAAGACCCAAGACATGGATTTCTCTTTAACAGTTATGGCACAAGAGTAGAACACGATCAAAATCCAACCAATTTCCTTTCTTTACTGAGACTCAGTGGTCACTGAAGTGCATAAACAGATGTAAGCACCTCTGGACCTGTTGCAGCTGAGGCATAGGACTCTGATCAGTCTTTAATGGTAGAGCACTGTTAGCTGTTTCAGTAAAGCAGGAAGTCAAAACTATTCTTCAATCAACAGAGTTGCTTTTGCACTGAAGTGGGTCAAAGCTGAAACCTTGGAAAGCCTCTTGAAGTTGGGTGGCTTGGATGACATTAGTTCCTATTCCTACCTATTAGTTCCAGACTTCAGCTGAAATCTCAAAACCCAGCCATCTTCTGCTGTTAAAACAGTGTTTGGCTCTCTTAAATAAAAGCCCTAAAGCCTTTTCTTCTCTTGCTGATTTTTTTCCTATGTAAACTTGTGCTCCTGTTGTTTCTCCATTTGGTTACTTTTGCAGATGTTGCATAGGACACTTCAAACAGCAGAATCTATATAAGTAGTCTGGATTAACATAAAAATAGCAAGCCACTGTTAAGAATGAACTGGAAATTAATGAAATTTATTTCATTCATGAATTTCGCTGAGAATAATTGTACTTATTTTATTACAAAAACCATATTTAGCAGCTGACTCTTGTGTTTGAAAAATAGTGATTATTATCAAATAGTTTACTCTAAAACTATCTAGTGAAATTCTTCCCAAATTTCCTTAGATTTGATAGAGATTTCTCCATCCTTCATTGTGAAACCACAGTGGCAAGAGTAAAACTCAACAAGAAGTCTGTCAGCTGATACCCAGTATCAGAATCAGATAATTCAGTTCAACAGGAAGATACAGGCATATGACACAATTGAGATGAGACATAGATAAGTCTAAAGCAAGTTATGGCTTTATCTCAGCCTAACCTTGAACCAGATGCCCTTTCCAAACCCCTTCACACTCACAGTGTTCATAGTGCACAACAGCTATTGCAGTAACAAACAGCTAGAATTAACAGAACTGGAGATGGGAGGAGAGAGGCCTTGGAAAGCATGGCATTAAACTTACCTGTATGGATAGTTTTCATTCAAACCCTGTGTTTTAAAATGTGCAGATATAAATGAATGCATTGCCTGACTGCATTTTGAAATGAGCAAGAGATTCAGGTACAAAAAGACTTTTTCTTGTTAGGACTTGACATGACTTGAACTATGATTGCACTGAAATGTATGGTGAAGCAGAAAATACTTCGTTAAACTTCTTCATGTTTTGCCACTTAAGTAATAATTCCACCACAATAAACCCCAGAAATGCTGCTTAGTGCAGAGTGGGTGGCATTTTAATTCTTTCCCAGATTGTAAATGATTAATATACAAGTAATTTGTCCTGGCATTCGGAATGTTCTTCACCTTTAAGTCACTTTAGTTACTCACTCTGCAGCCTGCCAGTTAGTGGATTTACATCATCCTCAGATACTGCTTTTCTTTATTCTGTCTGTGTGTTTCTGGTCCTGGCAGGGGAATGTTAGAAAACAGGCTTTGTTTTGATTTCTTCCCCTTTGTTTTTCACAAGTAGTACTTTCCCCAAAGTTTGCAGAAATAAAACGTGTGCTGGTTCTTTTTTATTCCTATTTGACCTGTATTGGTTTCCTAACTCACGTCTTTCGCCTCTAATCTCTCCTTTAATGGGGTGTCTGTGCTGCTTTTCTCACAAGATGAACACCTTCATCCTTTTTGCATCTGAATTATACAGTTATATTTCATTAAGAGATTTCTGATTTTGGTAGCTTTGGACTGAGTGAGATCCTACCACCAAGCATAATTCATTTTGGATGCATTTCTGGTGTGCTCTTGACTTGGATTAATAGAAAATCATTTTTTCCTGTAAGGCTCTTAGATTCAAATGCATCATTTCTTCTTTCATTTTTAGATGCTTGTCCAAAGGAAGATTAAAGTTATGTTTAAATATCATGAGACACTGATTTTTTTTTGACAGAAAACCCACAAATTGTTGATTAGTCCAGTGTAAATCTCTCTGGAACATACCCAGATGAAGGCTATAACTGTGGTGATGTGTGCTTTTCTGTAGCAATAGTTTTATTGGTAAATGAAGTGTTTATGCTCCCTAGTTACATCACTGGGTTCTAATAAACAGATATCATGCAGCTATAACAAACTATCTAGTAATACTTCACATACTGCTTTTCCCAATAGGAAAGACAAGCCAGTAGCAGGAATACTTCTCACTGCTTTTCATTACAAATAGTCTTAATTTTTATCTCACTTTAGGTTAGGGGAACTTCAGGATAATACAGTATACAGGAGACGCCCAAAATTCAGGGTACAGCTAAATCTCCTGTCCCTCTCTTAACTTCTGAGGTTCCTGCTGAAGATTAACTCTCTTCCAGGATCTGATGGAAGCTCATCTTCAAGACAGGTCTCAGCCCATACCTGCAGTTCTGCATCCAGAAGAACATCCACAATGACACAGTTCCTGCTGCTAGATTATTGCTGCACCCAAGACTTCTTAAATTAGCCCCAGCTGGGCTATCTGGGACCTACTGGCTGCCGGTGGAGAGCAGCAGGCTGCATCAGGAACAGTCACAGCTCCTCCATCACATGCTGCTGAACTGAAAACCAGCACTCAGGCAAGAGAAGGGTGGTGGCAAACTCAGGTTCCCTTTCCTCTCATAGGAAAGTAACCCGTACTCAGTTTCAGCTGGGTGAAAGCCATGGTTTAACACCCACTTTGCAAAGAAACACCTACATTTCTACAAACAATAATGGGCAAACTCCCTTTTAAATTTGGAAGAAGACCCCATAGTCATCTGGAAGTAAACTATTGTTTTTCACCACATGTGGCTTCTACTTTCTCCTGATAAAAATCCTGGTGCAGGAGAAGAACTGGAAGAATCCCATTATAAAGAGATTTGGAAGGAATGCTGGTTTTCACACCCAGTAAATCATGGATTTTTTTTTTTGCTTATAAAAAGGAACAAAAGGAGTCACTCTTATGCTGTGCACTTCCTTAGTTTCCCTCTTCTGGAAAACCCTATCAAAGAGGAATGAATGATATGCTTTAAGGGTGCACTTGATTAGCATCATTAGAGAAGCAATTCTGCCTTCCTGCTTTCTTCTGAGGCAGCACCTATCACCTGGCTTGGCCTGCCTTTGCACGTCACACTTTGGGCAGTGAGAATGTGGGCGAGCTGGATACAGGAAAGACTGGATCACCTTATATTCTAGTAACATCCTGCCTTTCAACCTCCTTTCTAATAGAAAGCATACAAATTGCTCCATGTTTCCAGTGAAGTGTGGTGAGTTACAAAGTATATTCCTATTCCCCAGAGGTTAAATGAGGAAGTACTGTGTGATGCCTTTCTTCTTTGTAATGACCAGCTAAGGAAAAGGAAAGAAATCCTCCTGTTTTGTTTTCAACAGCTCTGTCCCCTTATGAATGTGGGCAGGTGTTTACATATTAAAATCAAATCTATAATATTGCCAATACAAATAAATGCAAGTATCACACTCTTAATCTTTAACAGAGAAATATTTACTGCGGGGCCAAATTCATTCACTTTCCCCAGCTGTGCTTTCGTTGATAAAATAGAGGTGTTTGTGACATTATGTGTGGTGGGTTTGATTTTGTTCAGGTTGACAGTTCATGGCATTAAGCATGAAAAATTACATCTTCAACAAATTTTTCCTTGGTGGAGCTCTTGGGAACAACAGTAAGACCTTCTCAAGCTAAGTAGAGCCTCTGTGATGGCTGAGTGGTAGTTTTGTGGTTCTCTTTGGGTCTTTGTCACTTATCCTGTTTCTGTCAGATGCTAAAAATGTGAGAGAAGGTGAAAAATGCAAAGGCCACATACTTGTTTTGTGTACGTCATTTGGATTTTGTTATTTTGTGTGATTATTTGAACAGGTCAGCTTATTCAGAAATCAAATTCAATAGGGGTTTGAATGGAGGATGGCAGGAGTAGGAATAGCTATCATTGCTCATCTGGACTAGGGTTTTCTCTCTATTGAAGCTACAGGAAGTTATGTAAGTATGTTTTATGTTTTCAAATTTATGTATTAATATACAACCATGTAAAATATAAATGTCTAATTGTGAAGCATAGTGGAAATTTGTAGGGGTTCTCTTGTGAATCAGTAACAACGAAGCCTTGACTTCATGAAACTGAGAGCCTTGGATTACAACTCAAAGTAAGTGGGGGCAAACCAAGAGTTAATGTATGGCAAGGTTTCTGAAGATCAGGAGTACAGTCTGTCTTTTAAGGGAGTAGGGGTTTTGTTACTGAGGCAGAGTTTAGTGATACCAACATAGCAGTGCCATGGAGAAAAAAGATAAATTTAGATTGAATGATTTCTCAGTTAAACAGGGACCAACAGGGAGTTTATAATAAAACAATTTACACTCACTTTGGAATATGACAATGGCAATTTTTCTTGTGCTGAAAACAAACCATTACTGATGTATGTTTGTGACCCAGCAGGAAGTTTTCTAATAGAGACTCTTTCCACATCTATTCAGTAGCAGATGTAATTTATCCAACTTGTCTAGCAGTATATAATATCATGTATTATTACTACTGTCACATTTTCCTATGGTGCTAAAATCTGGGTGAAAAATTCAGTTTCCTTTGGAATCCTGCAGCAGTGACATACAGCCTTCAGCCTTGAAGGTTTCGCTCTTAATAAATTAGATGCTTAAATTCACTCCTCTGGTTTTAGATTTCATTAAAGATATTTGTGGTCTAAGCTCCTGTTCTGAAAAAAATCCATCAGGTAACGTTTTGACATATATGGTACCAATTTTTCATTCACATACTGTAATGTAAATCAGGAGGAGGTTCCTTTGTCAGTGCAGTAAATCAGGGTGAAAGAACTGACTTCCTTTACAGGAAATCTTAGTTGCATTTAAAATGCCTGATACTAGAAGTATTGCTATTACGTGTGTTTTATTTTAGCTGTATCATGAGGAGGAAAGGATGTCAGTATTCCTAATTTAAAGTCTGAGGTCCCAAGTTTCTGTTGTCTTCAGCAGGGATCCAACAAAGATCCCATATAAGACTGGTACAGTCAGGTGAGTGTGGAAACAGAGAATTGCTTCTAAGACCAACTAACATCTCAGGTGATGTTCAGGACTGCCTTCGGTCAGATGAAGCTATCATCTCTCCTTAGCATCAGGCAGAACCATTTCTAAGACTTCTTTGCAGAATAAGATGGTACTAACGCAGCTGATTCTGTACTAGAGAAACAGCTGGTATCTATAAGCACAGGATCCCTTTAGAAGAAGAGGCCAATTTCTTCAGTTCTTTCCTTCCTATTTTGTTTTTACTCCTGAGGAGATATTCAAGGAAAAGGAAGTGCTGGTTCCAGTTGTCTAATGGCAGTAAGCTCCTCTGGTTCATCATGGGAAACCACTGCAGTAGTGGTGGAGAAATATCTAGGAGCAGATTACAGATTCTGTGTTCTTAATTTTATTTTGTGCTTAATTCTCCACAGCTGTAGCTGAGGGACAAGAAAGCCTAAAACAATGAAGGGCAAGGATCTGAAGTTAGATGAGATTGTCCATGGGCAGAAGAATAGGACACAGGCAGAAGGGGTGGTATGGCATCATTCAGCTGTGAAGCTGAATGATTGCCAAACGCATAAGTAAATGACAGGTTACTTTTAGTTTTAAAATCTTAAAATTTCTGTTTGATCATTAGATATTGCTAAATGTGTGATAGGTAAATTAAAACAGAATTTGCAGGTAAATACAAATGTAAATCTTGACTTATCTAATTGATAAGCTCCTGCTAAGGAGAACTGAAAAAGGCTGTATTAGGGTCTCCAAGAAAGAAATTACATGTCTTTAGATGCAGTGTAACTGAAGTGCCTGTGCTGTTATGGGCATAGGAAAACATACTTCCTCTCCAGTCTGTATGAGGTCATTTTGTTGTGTAGGAGAAAAGGTAATAAGAAAATGACCAACAAGTGCCCGAGTGAGTAGGCTTTGCAAGAAGAGAACAAGTTTCTTCCTTTCACAGTGATCCGTGAGGTCCTGGGAATCACTGTGCAGCTCTGTGTCACCATGTTTGCAGGAGTTTCAAAGGCATTGAGGGGCAGATGAAACCTTTTTCTTCAATGTCACAAATGAACTTTCAGTTCTATGAGTAAGATTTAACAAGGGAGATGCTTTCTGTCACTTGGCACTGTCTTGGAATCTCTAGAAACACATCACCGTCCGTAACTGAAGATCTCCCATTCCAGTAAGATCACTGAGAAAATGTTTTTCAACTTTCTATGTATTAAATGCTTACACCTTCTAATGTGAGAGAGAATTTCATCAAATGTAAGAGGCTTTGAGCCCTTTGTGGCACTTCCGATTGTCAGAGACAATTCTGCTGCACCTGAAGGCTTGTTCTTTAGGAGGGGACAAGTTTTCATGAAACAAAGTCTGCCTCAGCTGGCTAGCAGGAAAAGGAGTCCAAATGGCTATAGTGACCTTTTCGACTCTCAGTCAAAATGTAACTAATGCAGGCTTGCAGATTTGTGTGGTTTTTATCAGATAGCAGCTATCACATAATTAGATGTTGTAGACAGATTGCAGTATTGGATAAATCAGACGCTTTTCTTTACAGGCTCAGAAACTTCCATAATATTCCACCCTTCAGTTTAAAATCACAGGCTTCTAGAAACAAATTATTAAGCACATCTCCTGGTAGGTTCTCATAGTAGGTACTTTTTTCCCCCCTCTGTGCATGAGTCAGTTAGAGCAGTGCCTTCCCTGTACTCCAGGCTGGTAGGTGACAATGGACTGATCTGGTGGTGAGCTCATATCATGTTCAAATATAGCAACATCTTGATGATATTATGATGATTACCACTTTGCAATTGGTATGTCTTAACTCAGCACAGGAACATAACATTCTTAACGAGGTAGAGCAATAATTTGCCTGTCACAAAATGATCCTTTCCCTTCCAAATGACAGTGTGTTACCATTACAAGCATATGTCCCCATCTACTAAAGCAGTAATAAATACAGGTCTGGCATTACCATATTAGATGTTTATGCCATTTGATAAAGTGTAAAACTTGATCTGGATCAAAACTGATCATATAATGCATGGATTCTGGTGTTAGTTAAGGCTGTGAGGATATCTCTTTTTTGCCTGGCCCACAAGAGCCTGGAACTATTCAGGAAATAGCTGGGGCAAATGAAGAGACTAGAAGAGTTAGTCACTGCAGCCTTAATGTGAGTTGTTGTAAGCAATTCCTCTTGGAAACTCTGAGCAATTGTTCATGTAAGGCTCAGTTTTGTCCTCCCTCTTTAGGCTCTGAGCCCACAAATTTATGTGGGTTTAATTTCAAGCATGTGGTCCTGTGGGCTTCAGTAGGGCTACTTAAGCTTGAAGTTAGGCACATGTGTAAGCGTTTTCAGAATCAGAGCTGTAGGAGAGAGTCCCAATTATTGTGATGGGAGTTTTGCCTGAATGCAGATTGAGCCCATGTGTTACAAACCCCATTCCTTGACTCTCCAGTAGAACTGTTGTAACTAGGGAGAAGTTAATTCAGTGAGATAGATGTCTATTGCAAGTTCTTCTATACTCATCAGAGGAAAACTTGTTTTCTTACTGCTGAATTTCCTTGGTGTTGTCGGTTTAACTTCATTATACATGTAGTAGCTGATCTATAGCTTGTTATCAATGTTATCTAAACTCTGTACTGTTGGTTTTGCGTTATTTGCTTACTATCAGTGGGACTGAAGAGATGGTACAAATCTTCAAAACCCACATTTTATTAATCACTTTGTGAATTGTTTTATAACCACTTTATGGTTTTAAAAAGCACTGAATTTCTTTGCTGTGCTGTGAGTTTTGGTCATTTTCTTACAAAATCAATGAGCATGACTTTGAATACTTGAATAGGGTAAAACTATTGACCACTAGGATGTTTAGAGTTAGAATTAGTGAAACCAAATCTTAAGGTGCAAGATTTCATCCGTTTTGTGAGTGGTGCATGAGAGCCTGTGTACTACTCTTCAGCAGTACAACTTCTGTGGACAGGTAGAGGGCAGGGGTTGAGGTAGATATAGGACTTTGTGACACATTGGAGCCACTGCACTGCATTCTAGTGTGGACTTTAGCTACAGGACTAGGTATGTTTTCACCAGTAACATCTTCCCCATGTATTTCCTCTTGGAATGCAGAAACTGGTCTGAGTTTGGGCTTTAGCATGTACTAGTGTGGGGCATATGCTCATCCAGCTACAGCCTATCTCTATTTACAGGGAGTGGTATATATTATGGTGCTTTAAAAGGCACTC